TATTATTATTATTATTATTATTATTATTATTATTATTATTATTATTATTATTATTATTATTATTATTATTATTATTCAATGATTCTTGCGTTATAGAAATATCAGTTTCTTTCACATTATTCTCATTAAAATTTTTCTGATTATCATGAACATGTCCTACAGCGTTTATAGAATAAGGTGACACCGCGGTATCTACCCCATTGACTAATTCGCCTCCGGCGGTGGTAATATTACCATTAACGATCACCTGTTGTCGATTATTAGTATTGCTGTTATTACTACTGTTATTACTAATATTATTACTATTGTTTTCACCAGTATAAACAGTGCCCTCATTAATACTAATTTTCCGGTGATTTTCTTCATTCGACGAATTTCGTTGATGTTGTTGATACGGATGATGTTCATTAAACGACTGTGAAGTAACTGCGTGTGGTGGATTTATACCTAACTGACTTAGTAAATTAGTCAACTCTTTATTGGATTTACTGACATGTGCCAACCCATGTCGAACTTCTTGTTCGTGTAGTATAGGGTATCCTTCCATCACGTCTTTCACAAGGCTCATCATTTCGACGGTTTTCTATAATTCAATATAAAGTTTAGCCATAAAATAATAAAGCCAGAATTAACCAAATAGGTAAGGTAATGCTAAAAAAATAAATACCCGTATAAACGCCATTGTATCATCGTATAATCTAACTTGTATGCCATGTTCAACTGACGATGTTGATGTAGATCTGGTCGATTGTAATGATATTTTTAGCCGAATCGTCACCTCTTTGGTATTTTTTATGTGTAATGCCAAATCTTTGATTTTATTTCGTATTTCTGGTTGTTGTTGATCATCAAAAGTGGTATTCTGTGCCTGTTCAACTGTTTTCATCAAGTATTTAAACACGTGCTCAAAACAGGATATAGAAGTTTCTACTTTGTTCATTAATTGTTCATTGAAACTTATAGTGGGAACAAGAGTCGCAGAAGTAGAAACAGAAGAAATCGATGAATTGGAAACGTGTATTGACGAGGCATAAGGTGTCGAGGGCACACTCGGAATACTTGAAGGTGATGATACAGAAACAGCAGTTGTAGTAGTTGATGGATTAGACGTGGTAATGATACTCGCTGAATAAGGAGGTGGGATGCCAGTAACCACGTTAACACCAGGATTGCTATTCGAACGAGACATTGATCTCAATCTATACGGTGTGGATGCATTGCTATAAGGCGTGTAATCTTTTAACAATGGTGAAATTGTCTCCCACGCGAATTTTATTTCCGCAATTGCTCCATGAAGCGTTAACAGTAGAGTGCGCGAATAACGAATATTCTCAGCTAACTGAGTAATATTACGTAGCTGATGTTGAAGTGCACTTATCAAACTACGGAATACCGAAACATTCGATTGACATGATTTCAATAATTTCACACATGTTTCCCCATCAGGTCTTTTTGTCATTGAATCGTTATCAAATTGTTCCAATGCGACAACCAATTGATCATTGAATTTTGTCGCGTTACGTAATTCTTTGGTGAATAATTTTTCAGTGGCAGTAAAACTCGTGAATTGACTAATTCCTTTGAGTATTTGAGATGATGAATATAGAATACTTCGACTCGCTTCTCTTAATGAAATATCATTTGGCTGAAGATATTCTGCATAAGATAAAGTTCGAATTTTTTGGAAATAACCATCCCCACTATTAATACAATCGTTCAGACTACTCAAAGAATTAATGGAATCCTGTGAATAACTTTTGGCATGATGTCGTAATCGATATCCTATTATCGCCGGATCATAAGTATCATTGCTTAGGCTTCTATCACGTCGAGGTGAATCAAGAATTAGGTTTGAGGGTACTCCGCCCACACCATTCCCACGTCTTCGTTCGTGTCTTTGTATCACTTGCTCATTCTCATTGATAGTGTTCAATGAATTATTAGATGTTTCCCCGTTGCCGTTTCCTCCTTGTTGTCGCGTGGATGCATTTGTCACAAAAGCATTGTTATCAACTGACCCTGCCTTTCTTGGTATCTTATCGATTCCGTCATCTTCGCTAATTTTTTACGTATCATAAGAATTATTATGAATAAAAATAGTTTTAAGAAAATATAATTGATTTTTATATTCAATCACCTGCTATCGCTCGTCTCAAATTCAATATCATTTCGGTCAACATTTTGATCTATTTAAAAAAAATTTAATTTAATAAAACAAAAAAATATCGAACAGAATCAAATATTGTGATAAAAACCTAATAAAAACCACAACTACAACAAATACCAATCTGACATTGCCTCAAAAACTCTTTTAAGCTATTCAACCATTTTTGTTGCGCAGCTTTTTCTTTTGGCATCAAAATATACGATCTCGGCGGAAATTGTAGCGGATTGTGCTCCACCCTTAAATATTGCAGATTTTTCATTTCGCCAATATAGGTAGGGAGTTTTCTTATTTGGTTTTTGGAGATTTTTAGTGCCTATCATTATCATTGTTGAAATGATATCGATTAATGAGATAAATTTTTATAAACACATAACACACAAAACACGACCAAACTAATGCTTAGCGTATATTATTACGGTAAATTGTTATGTATGTACCGTTAACGAAATCAGATTTCCAAAATTTTTGGGAAGCTTTCGAATCTGATTTTTACTCAGATCCAGCACTTCTAAGTTTTGCATCCCACAAAGCTTCAAAATTGAATGATCAATAAATAAAGATTAAAGATCACGATCACAAAGAATAAATCATCAAACCTATAAAGAATAAATGATACAAACAGCGGCAGGAAATGTTTTGAACTCATTAGAATTAAGATCAAGATACCGTAATCTCGATAATTTACAAATTTCACGTGGCATACTGGTTAAATGATTTTGTTCGAGTCCCAATCTATTATTTGATAATATATAATGAATAATAAATAATATATCTCTTTATTTGCTTTGTATATAATGAGCTTTGATCTATTTATGTTTAATACCTTTCTATACCATAAGTACTAATTAATTCAATGACCTCCACTGGCATCTCTCGAATTCCTTTACTTGCTAGTTTTAACGAGACAGCCACACCAGCATTAGACGAGTTCGCCGTGGTTGTCGTTGTGTTAGTAGCTGCAGCCGTCGATCTTGCTGCTTCATCGCGTAGTGATTCCGATATTATTTTTTTTAGTCGTTCTGTTTGAGTCTCATCCATTGCATATTTAAGTCCTAAAAAATCATAGTTAAAAAAGTCGGATTGCTATCGCCACGTGCTTTATTTGATTGGTTGTGTTACAGTAAATTGGATAATGATGATAATGATGAATGTAACACCACTTTTCTCTGCATTGTGACATTCCATATAGAGCTCAATACATATAAATCAACGAAATATATTATGTAATGATAATCTATCAGTCAAGGCGTCTCATATAGATTAATGAATTAATGGATTATCTCGCGTAATCAAAAATCGCTTTTTGCTTTTACTGCATTATTATTGTTGTAACAAAAGGCGCACTATTTCTTATATATAAAGAGAATGGACGAATTTATTTTGAACTTATTAAACGACGAGTAATCGATCACCTATAAAAGGGAAAACTTTGATTAAAAAAATTATTTTGTTGCGGGGAATACTTTTATCTATTCATTCGTACTGATCATCAAATGTTGAGATCAATAGTAAGAAATTTAGGACGTGGTGGAGTTATGCCGCAGTATCTGCCGCGTAGTGGAAGCTCACGCGTTTTTGGTATAAGCGCGGTAAATATAGAGTATAATAAGAATAATTTTCGTCACGAGAAATCAACAAAGAATAAATTAGTTTAATACCTTTGTAAAGATTCGATGGAATTCTATTGAATCTGCAACTAATATAAGTGCAGATAGAGGTACTGCTAATGTTGATGACGTGGCAATAATGAGCTTGATATTTTTTGCTTCAAATCCGATGGATTTTCCGAAATTTAAAATATTCTCGATAATTATTTTTAGAAACGATGGGTTCAATCTGGAGGAAATCCTAAGGTAAATAAAAATCACCATCCTCCCTTGTTACCTATCTCCGCGTTAATTTGATTAATATTTGTAATACAAGTAATAATCTTTGATAAAATTAGCCAACACATCCTGACGCCGATACGCATCCAATAGCCAAAGCAATTCTCGATAGACATTCTCAATATTTATTAAACACTTACGCTCGTCCACCATTAATCTTCACACATGGCAATGGTTGTTACCTGTATGATTATGCAAGCCGTCAATATTTAGATTTTACCGCTGGAATCGCAGTCAATGGATTAGGCCACGCTGATCCCCAACTTTCGGAAATAGTCCACGATCAAACACAACGATTAATACATTTGAGCAATTTGTATCATAATGAATACGCGGGTGAATTGGCTGAAGTATTGATAAAAGCCACGCGGGAAAATGATGGATTTGATGCGGCCAAAGTGTTTTTCTCAAACTCAGGAACTGAGGCAAATGAAGGCGCATTGAAATTTGCAAGAAAATGGGGAAAATATATTGCAAAAGAAATCGGAGTAGATGAGGATGAAAAATACAGAATTGTATCATTTATAAATGGATTTCATGGAAGATCTATGGGTGCATTATCTGCTACACCGGCTCCTAAATATCAAAAGCCATTTTCACCATTAATCCCTGGATGTTCCTATGCTCCATTTAACGACGTGACAAAGATTAATGAATTTGTCACTCCAGAGACTTGTGCTGCTATTGTTGAACCAATTCAAGGTGAAGGTGGTGTTTTTGAAGCAAGTATTGAATTTTTGGAGGCATTGAAAGCTAGATGTCAAGAAGTTGGCGCTTTGTTGATTTACGACGAGATTCAGGTAAAAAGAATTGCGTTTATTTTTTTTTAATTAATTAGATATATTAAGCTTTTATTTTTTTTGAATATCAGTGTGGTCTCGGTCGAACTGGAAAATTATGGGCACATCAAAATCTGCCGAAATCTTGCCACCCTGATATATTGACAATGGCGAAACCAATGGCTAACGGATTACCAATTGGTGGCATAATGGTCACAAATCGTGTAGCAGATTTAATTACAATTGGTAAATTTAGCTTGAATATTATATGAATGCTCCAACTGACTAAACTTATATAAACTCGTTAATTCAATTAGGTGATCATGGAACTACTTTTGGTGGTAATCCTCTTGCATGTCGTGCAGGAATTTACGTAGTATCAAGAATAAACACACCCGAACTGTTAGGCAACGTCAATACAGTCGGGACATATCTTCGCACATCATTAGAAAATCTTTCAGCAAAACATCCTTCATTAATCACCGAGATAAGAGGTCGTGGCTTAATTCTTGGGATGCAATTCTCGCGTGATCCCACACCTCTTGTACAATTGGCAAGAGAACGTGGCTTGTTGATTATTACAGCGGGAAATAATACCGTGCGTATTGTACCGCCATTGATTCTGACAAAGGATCAAGCGTCCCATGGTGTTAAGATAATAGAAGAGGCTGTAGAGTTGTTTGAAAAGGAAGTTAATTAATTGTAGTTTTTTCATTAATTATTTGCATCAAGGATTTGATTGGGGTTTTGGGGGTAAATTATATCACGATGTATGTATGCATGTTAGTTATATTAGCATTAATTAATAGGCCTCTGTTTTCACAAACCTTTTTATAATGACTGCATGGTTCTGATATTTTCGACCGTTAAGCGAGTAAAGAGTAGAGAGACAAAAAAACCTATGATAAATTATCAAAATAAAAAAAGAAATCAAAAATAAGTCTAAATGTAACATTTCTAATCAAGGACAAGAAGACAGACAGATCATCAATTTTATTTCCTTATGTGTGTGTGTACGCATGTTTTTCGCAGAAAATCCTGCATCTACGTAAAGGGGAAAATATGATGTTGTCAATTAATTCTATATCTCGGAACTTAATCTTGAATAATAAATAACAAACTCAAGAAAAAATTAAATACTAACAGTTCATAATCTTAACTAATAAAATCCAATTGAATGGAAAGTCTTAGGAATCGTAGTCGTATAGTCAAAGTGTCTT